TACTCGCGTCTGAGTGTGGACTCGGGCGATGACGAGAAGCCACAATCAGGAGCGCTTCTTGGTCTTGCCCAATTTTTTCACGACAAGTTCATGGCTACCCATTATTCCGTACTGGAAAAGTCACTGATCGAAGAGGATTGGAAAATGAATAGTGGATGGGGTGGCAGTCAAAGTGTTTAGTTATGGAGAAACTAAACTTAATGATTGAACCTTTTTCACTATTCACGATGCTGCCTAAAGGCCACGTCTTGATCCAAGATACCCCAAGCTGATTCGTTAAGGGCCATGCTAACATCGATACTGCCTAATGTGACTCCTGTGCACTGGTTCAGCTGGTCTTCGGTAGCCATGAAGTAGATCAAGCCGTCAATGAGTGAAATTGGCGTGAAAGGTTGGCCCACAAGCGCTGGCGGGACGTCAAGTTCAGTGTGTGTGTACATCCCAAACTTGTTCCATTGGCTCACCATCACACCACCTTGATAACGTAGTCTGACTCGATCTTTGTCGGGTTGTGCAGCCAACCACGTCAAATTCTGTTGTACTTCACTTGGATCCAAGGGTTGTACACCATCTCGCACTGCAGCAGCGATAATGGGCAACGGAGAGTCCAGCAATTCACCAGCAGATAACGAGAAAACTGGACACAGTACGCAGTTCGGAAAATACCGAGATGAGATGCCTAGCTGCCCTCGACTGCGTAAGTCTAGAGACGCCAGGAATTGACGCGGCTCTTTAAGAGCGGCCTCGTCTGAGCTCATCCCTTGAATTCTGCACTGTTGCACACGTGCGCGATAGATACTCTTCCACAAATAAGCTGCCAGAGCACAGAAAGTTGATACAGGTTTATCGTTATGAACGTTTGCATCGGCCTTGATACGTGCAAGCTCGTTTGATGAAAAGCGCAGCACACGGCCAATGACAGGCTCCGGCGCAGGACTATTATCCGCCCTTGGTTGGACATCAGTAGCGAGTTCGAAGAGCGTCGAATTGATTGCAAGGGCTTCTTGCCTTTCTTCAACTGACATCTGTAGATCCGAGTGGAGCGAATGTATACCCGGCGATGGAATGGATAGCTCGTCAATAGATTGGCCTTGATCGAGAGCTCGGAGGCCGCGATACAGGTGTGCCAAGTCATGTGCTAACTGGAAGAACCCAGCAGCGTCGCAAACAATGTGGCGAAGTCGCAGAGCAATTGACACACCGCCACAGGCAAAGCGTGTGTGTTGTACCGTTAAGATCGCGTCACGAGCCGCACCGGCCTCTGTTGGATCAAATTCTGGCAGCAATGCATTGCCTCCATCTGGCAGGTTCGTGACGACAAGTCTAGGGGACGCTCCAGGTTGATCATCGTCTACAATATACTCAAACGACTTGAGTGGCTCGCCGCATTGTGCCGAGACCAGCCTGGCTCCAGCTCCAAGCTGTTCGATCCGTGGCGACTTGTCTTTTGGGTCAATGACAATGCGGCCCGTTAGGTGTGGGTAGTAGTCAAGCAATCGCTCTAGGGCACGTCGAAGCCGGTCGATCGGGATCAGTTCTTCGACTGCAGATTCGTTTGGACGGTACACGAAGACGACAGCAAGCGGGATAGCGAGGAGCGAATGCTGGTCAAGCGGGCCGAACAGAACCGGCGACTGGAGGCTTTGAAGAGAGCTTTCATCCGCACACTGCAGAGGGAACTGTGCTGTCGCGGTTACTGTTGACGAAGAGACCATTTTGGTAAGTGCCTGGAGAGGATGCCAAGATGCTCGAAGAGATACATATACCAAACCAGACGAAACATTCCGGGAACAAGGACTGTGGTAATCATAATCAGAGTGGTCCACACCATGTAGTTGACAATTTGGGCATATATTAGTTATAGAAGTCGGCAATCGTGTGCACCACGTAAAACTATAAAAATTAAGATCTTACCTATAAAACTTGCTGGCGTAATATGTGGCGCTCCTCGACGGTGCCTTTGGCCGCTGTTGCGGCTGCTACAGCCATCGGCGCTCTCTCGATCCGCCGTCTATCAACCTCTCCACTGTCCCGTGTATCTCGTCGCACCCCCGGCCGCGTTGGTGATTTTGTTTCTTCCTTGGAGACGCCGTGTTTACTCGTGGACTTGGATGCTCTAGAAACCAACCTCAAACGTCTCCCAGAATCCCTAACAGCTTCTCCAAATCTCGCCATTCGTCCCCATGCCAAAGCTCACAAGTCCTCTGCTATTGGGCAGTTACAGCTGCAACTATCTCACGCAGTAGGACTCTGCTGCCAGAAGGTGTGTGAGGCTGAAGCCATGTTCAACGGCGGGGTACGGGACATTTTACTAAGCAATGAGATCTACGGACTGGAACGCTATGAACGCATGGCCGCATTGGCCAACGGTGGAGCAACGATTACGCTCATCTTCGACAATATTGAAGCCGTACAGCAGGCGGCACAAGCCGCAGAGACTCAAGGTATCCACTTCCGAGCTTTGGTGGAGGTGAACGTGGGTCAGGACCGCTGTGGCGTTGATACGGTGGAGGAGGCAGTAGAATTAGCCAAGAAGATAGAGAGCTATGCTCCGAGGTTGGAGATGGTAGGCATTCAGGCGTATCATGGTGCAGCGCAACATATTCGCAGCTACGACGAGAAGAAGAAGGTGATCGCTAGTGTCGCTGAGAAGGCCAAGAGTGTGAGAGACGCATTAGTGCAGGAAGGTCTGACGTGTGATGTGGTTACTGGGGGGAGGAACGGGAACGTACTTGTTGGAAGCGGCGAGTGGTGTGTTCACTGAAGTGCAGCCTGGCTCGTACTTGTTTAATGACGCGGACTATGCGAGGAACTTAGGAGAAGACGGAGAGTTTGTCAAAGACTGGGAGCAGAGTTTGTATGTGCTGACGACGGTGATGAGCAAGAACGCGAGTGCAGCGGTGCCGCGTGTAGTGGTGGATGCAGGCACAAAGGCAGTGTCGCTGGACTCGGGCTCGCCGCTGGTACACAGTATCATTAATGGAGAGAAGCTGTCGACCCCGTTGGAATACTATGGTGGGGGTGATGAACATGGGATTTTGAAGCCACTGCAGAATATTGCTGCTGCCAAGAGAGTCGAACTCCCCGCTCTTGGGAGCAAATTGCTGCTTATTCCGGGTCATTGCGATCCTACCACAAACATGTATGACCACCTCGTTGGATACCGCGGCGATCGTGTGGAACATGTGTGGGAGATTGAGGCTCGTGGTCCTGGTAACTAGTACTAAAAGTTAATACGTACGCTCCGTTGAAAGTAAACAATAAATTCTCTACGTACCAGTGGACAAAACGAACTAACTTCTAAGTAATCCCCGTTTCCTTATGTGTACCATGCTGGGAAATCCTATACGAATACTGGATACAAGTAGACCTCTTTGTCACCCCATATAGAGGACATCTTTAGCACGTCTACACTTCCGTATCCCCCAATGTTAGATAACAACGAGTGCGATATTATATCTTGCGCGACAATTGACTACAGTCCGTGCTCCCAACGCTC